TGTCTGAAATAATGTGAGAATGAATGGCTGGAGAGGGTGAGAGGCATGGGAGCAGGATGACTCGTCTTCTTTGTTTGCTTGAAGAGCACAGAAATCATGCAGCTAATTGAAAAATGTACAAATATATTAAAGCACGCTTAATTTTAAGTCACTGAGCATAAAATTCAACCGAAAAATATCTGAGAGATATTAACTTGCATTGGAAATCAGCCACATTTGAGACTTGGATTTTTTTGCCAGAGTTTGCGTGCATTTCAGAAGCGTCAAAACGATTGACCAGGTAGAACTGGCTGTCTGGTGATTTTATTCCTGATAGACTGGCTTTTTTTTCTGTTCGTATCTCAGTGTTTGATCGTAATACTGAATGAAGCGTCCCAAGCGAAAGGTGTGCAGTAAGAGGGCAGCTTTGTCTTGATTCTGTATTCTTATCTTTTTTTTTGAATCAATTTTAAATTATTCGAAGCTCTGGGTAAAATTAGCATCAAAAGTCCAATGCTGCTTTTATAATTCACGCTCTGTATGAGTTGAGGCACTCGGAATTACCCCGAATGGTAAAATTTGCTGAGATCAACCACTCGCTAGCAAGGTTTTCAATGACTTTCTCCTTCAAACACTGTTTGCAAGTACGCAGAAGATATTTTCGACGACGAATTGAAGTACTGAGAATTGTGTAGAAGGAAAAGTCGGTAATTCTTTTTATCAATGCATATACATCCGTAGGAATGCAATGAGCTACTCTGAAGCGTTAATAAATGTCTGGGAATGCAACAGTCCAGTCTTGACTGGAAATTAATCCGTAAGAATCGAGCAATCAATCTCCGAAATATGGATTAATTCATCTTATTGTTTATCTCCAGGTATTTAAGGCGAACATTTTCAAGGCGTAAGCGATTGATTGCACGTTTATGCTACGTGGCCACTGCAATATTTTCCCTGATTTTGCTCACACTTGTACATGCCAGCTTTTCACGACTCATAAAACAGGGTATGCTTGAAGCATCTTCAAAAAAGAAGTGATTTTGCGCGCCAGAGACAAAGAGTGAGGGAAGGCGGAAGAGGGGAAGGTACTGCTGCGCATAATAAGTTTTCCCGCAGCATACTTAATAGATAGTTGTACAGTCTTACATGACTGTGACTAAGTTGTTTTATACGGTATTTAAGATTAATTTCAGCTGCATGCCTCGTACAGCTAACTTTACAACTTCTGTAGTAGTGCGAGAGCCGATTGCTGGAGGTCAGTTCCAGCTATGAGTAATTGTTTTGATTACGGCAGCATTTAGAAATTCAGGAACTAAGAATAATGAAAAAGAACGAAATGCAAGAGCAGCATAATAATTGAGCCTCTAATGCATCACGGGATTTAAGGAGGAGATGATGGAGTATTTTGGATTGAAATCCACTGATCTTAATTTAGTGAGGGCGAAAAAAGACCCAC